ATCTATAGTCCAGACTACAGACTAATCTATAGTCCAGACTACAGACTAATCTATAGTCCAGACTACAGACTAGTCTATAGTCCAGACTACAGACTAATCTATAGTCCAGACTACAGACTAATCTATAGTCCAGACTACAGACTAATCTATAGTCCAGATTACAGACTAATCTATTGTCCAGACTACAGACTAATCTATAGTCTAGACTATAGACTAATCTATAGTCCAGACTATAGACTAATCTATAGTCCAGACTATAGACTAATCTATAGTCCAGACTATAGACTAATCTATAGTCCAGACTATACACTAATCTATAGTCCAGACTATAGACTAATCTATAGTCCAGACTATAGTCTAATCTATAGCCCAGACTATAGTATAATCTATAGTTCAGACTGTAGTATAATCTATAGTCTTAACTATAGACTTATCTATATTCCAGACTACGTACTAACTATAGTACAGAATACAGACTAATCTATAGTCCAGACTATAGACTAGTCTATAGTCCAGACTATACACTAATCTATAGTCCAGACTATTTACTAATCTATAGTCCAGACTATAGTCTAATCTATAGCCCAGACTATAGTATAATCTATAGTTCAGACTGTAGTATAATCTATAGTCTTAACTATAGACTTATCTATATTCCAGACTACATACTAACTATAGTACAGAATACAGACTAATCTATAGTCCAGACTATAGACTAGTCTATAGTCCAGACTATAGACTAATCTATAGTCCAGACTACAGACTAATCTATAGTCCAGACTACAGACTAATCTATAGTCCAGACTATTGCCCCTATTATGGTTTACAACTCAACTCAGTTGAGTTGAAATTGAAACAACTCAACTTTAGAACAACTCAACTTATATTTGGTATTATGAATTACAACCAATTTCAGTTGTAATTGTGTTGATGTTGCCAACCTAAAAAGTGCTTTTTTGTCATAAAATTAAGTGAAAAGTTTATGAATTTCTGTTTTTCGTAAATGACAAATGTATTGAACATCTTTTTATTGTAAATTCGCTTGAAATCAGTGATTAATGAAATTTAAAAAAAATGTTTAAAAAAAAACTTTACTTTGTTTTATTTTAAAAATTTATTCTAAACAATTGAGTTGTAATTTGTTACAACTGCTTTTGATAAGTTGTAATTTTTTTCAAAAAAGTTGTAATAAATTTCAACTTTAAATTTTAAGTTGTTATCGATAATACCAAAGACCAAAATTTCAACTAAAGAAGAGTTGAGTTGTAAACCATAATAGGGGCATATAATCTATAGTCGAAACTATAAACTAATCTAAAGCTTAGACTTTAGATTGATCCATAGTCTAAACTATGAACTAATCTATATTACAGACTATAGACTAATCTAAAGACAAGTCTAAGGACCTATCAATAGTACAGGCTAATCTATAGTCCAGACTATATTTCAATCTATAGACCAAAGTATATGTTGATCTATAGTTCAGACTCATTCTGTTGGTTTTAAATATCAATATTATAGAATATATTTGCGCACATTATATTACCCCTTAGTTGGACATAAAAAGTTTTAGTAAATTACTTTTTTACTAACCTTTTTTTTTAATCGAACAAAGATTTTTATTAAAAAAAGTGTTTTTTAGTGAACAAATAAAGTTGAAAAATAAGACAAAAAACTCTTTTATGAATAAAAATGACTTTTTCTTTAATGAAAAATACTTTTTTTGATGACAAAACTTTTTAGATGTAAAAAAATAAAACAAGTTTTTTTTTTCTTTTACTGTAAAACCAAGGTCGAATAGTAAATTATGTTAACCCTTTAAGATATTTTTTCTTATTTGCTGCAAAAGTAAATAATATAGTAGTAATCATCCTTGAATTTTTAAATATTTATGTATTTATTTAATAATATTACCCAAATTTAATTTGCCGCTCCCATACTCTTCTCTATAAAGTAAAAATATATACATATTTCATTATAAATGTCTGTATATGAACTTGATAAACTGTATTCTACACATACATTGGTATTTCATATGTACATATATAAAGCATTGATCGGCAGCTATGGCAGGCAGGGGCCGAGAGCATTTAAAACCATAGGATATATAATAATTTAAAGGCTTTGACTCTTGTCTTATTTTCACACAAAAATTGGTATGTCGTTTTCTCTTTATGCCGATCACCGATTTTAACTGAAACTTGAGCACAGGTTAACCGCACTGTAATATTATCTTTACATTTACATGCAACATTTTGCCAAAAAAAGAGAAAAACCAACAATAATAGCTTGAGGAGGTTAAGCCATTCTGGTAGCCTTGAATATATCGTTTTCAAAAATATGATTTTTAAATATAAAGGATGAGGACGTTGGTAACAAATTTCATTCATATTACTAAGTTATTTCTCTCAAACTCTTTTTAAAATCCACATTTTTTGTTCAAATTTGAAAAGAAATTTTAGGTTTTTGTCATTTAAGTATGAAGTATGAAGGAGATTTGTGTTTTGGATTTTTTATCTATAGTTTTTAATTTAAAAGTATTTTTAAGTTTTAAACTTAAAATATATTTGTTTTTGTGTATATGTAGTTGGCAGTATGTGGTATGGTATTTATACAAGAGTAAATGTTTGTGTACATTTCTATAGGTGTTTTCTATATAATATAATCTGTTGGTGTTTGTCAGTTCTCATTTCTAAACAGACATAGCCCGACAGTTTTGACAATTGTTCCCCGATTTTGTAAACCATTTAAGGCAGCCACTGGCTAAATAATGAATATAACACCAAGAGACAGTTAGGTGTCTGATGAATGTAAATCACTAACTGGTTACTTTACAAAATTATCATCAACTCATTACTTAACTGTTTACGAAGGACTAGTAGATTTCTAACTGTACCCAAAATAAACAATCGTTATAGGCAAAATACAAAAATCTGCTTTCAAAAATCTTTCTATAGATCAGTTTGGGCTATTCGTGTTAATAAAAGCCGTTACCAACTACAAAACTAACGGGTTAAGTGTTTAAGCATTATAGTTTAGTTTTGTACGGGTCTGTGTGTTTGTCTATCTTTAACTTTCGTTTAATTTAAACAAATTGCTTAACCACATGTGTCTAACACCAAAATTACATTTTGTGGCATTAAGTATTATCTACACCTTTAAATAATTAACAAAAATAATGGCTGTTGTTTTTTTAATTTCTCTTTTAGCCTTAAGTACATTTTAGCAATTTAAAAAAATACAAAAAAATATAATTAAATAGGAAAAAACAAAGTGGCGGGGAACTTTAAAACACAGGAAGGAAGTTAAAGGAAATAAATAAAAAAAAAAAAAAAAATTAATATGAGTAGGTAGGTAGCTTAAATGCTGTTGCTGAAGTGTTGTTGATGTTTATGAAAATGACAAAAACACGTGTTTAATTTTAGCAACCCTCTATGTTTCATAATTGTATAACTGTTTTAAATGTTATAAAGAAAATTTAAAACATTATAATGAAATAGAAATTACAATATTCAATGTAGTATTAGCCTTGGATGTAATAACAATGTTGTACTATTGTACTTTTTTAGTACTTTTCCATACGCTTGGCTTTTCTTTAATGTATGTATAAACTTTTGCTAAACTTTTCTATGGACTAGACTATAGACTAGTCTATGAACTAGCCTATGGACTATCCCATGGACCAGTATTTTGAATAGTATATGGAATAGTCTATAGACTAGCCCATAGACTAGTTTATGGACTAGTCTATTGACTACTCTATAGACTACTATATTGACTATTCTATAGACTACTCTATGGACTAGTCTATTGATTATACTATATACTACTCTATAGACTAGTCTATTGACTATTCTATAGACTAGTATACTGACTATTCTATAGACTATTCTATAGACTAGTCTATTGACTACTCTATAGAATAAGTCTATTGACTATTTCTAAAGAGTAGTCCACAGACTAGCCTATTGACTATTCTATTGACTAGTCTATTAGCTATTTATTGACTACTCTATAGACTAGTCTATTAACTATGCTATAGACTAATCTATAGACTACTCTATGGACTAGTCTATTGATTATCCTACAGACTAGTATATTGACTATTCTAAAGACTAGTCTATTGACTATTCTATAGACTACTCTATTGACTATTCTATAGACTACTCTATAGACTAGTCTATTGACTATTCTATAGACTACTCTATAGACTAGTCTATTAAGTATTCTATAGACTACTCTATAAACTAGTCTATTGACTATTCTATAGACTTCTCTATAGACTAGTCTATTGACTATTCTATAGACTACTCTATAAACTAGTCTATTGACTATTCTATTAATTATTCTATAGACTAGTCTATTGACTAATCTATAGACCATTCTATGAAGTAGTCTATGCACTATACTATAGAGTAGTCTATAGAATAAGCTATGGAGTAGTCTCTTGTATAGGCCATGGACCCGTCTATAGATTATACTATTGACAAGTTTTTGTACTAGTCTATTGACCAATCTAGGAACTATTCTATTGTCCACTTTATGGACTAGTCTATTGACTACTCTATGAGCTAGTCTTTTGACTTGTCTATAGACTAGTCTAATCACTAATCTATTCAATAGTCCCTGTACTTATCTAGTCTTTTCACTAGTCTATGAATCTGACTATATTTCGTTCAGTGTAAAAAGCTGTTAACAATAATGAAGTACTTTATTAAACTCATCTATCAGTCAGTCGTTGCTCATGCATAATTGCATGAATATAACTTATCATGTAATAAACAACACTCTTAAGTGCAGCGCCACTATAACTAAAAGGAAATCTTGAAAACTCGAAAAAATATTTTTAAAGTACTTTAAGCAGATTTGTTTAAAACTTACATATTTCAAAAAAAACAACAAACGATTTAAGTTAATAATAATTAAAAAATTGTGTTAGGTTTTGTAGTAAAGAAAATAAGATTTAGTTTTTCAACATTGTTTTCATTGTCATATTTATAAAAGGGTTATTTTCTTGGCTAAAAATTAGTATTTCTAAAATGTTACAAGTTAAAGTGCTGCAATTACGTTTTATAATTCTGCTAACCTTGCTTAGTTGTTCCCTGCAATGCCAGGATAAAGGGGTAGAACAGAAGGAATTAGATTGGTGGCAAACAGCACAATTCTATCAAATTTATCCTCGTTCTTTTATGGATTCTAATGGTGATGGCATAGGAGATCTAAAGGGTATAACCTCCAAGTTAACATATCTTAAGGATATAGGAGTAACGGCCGTATGGCTATCACCCATTTATACCTCACCTATGGTGGATTTTGGTTATGATATTTCCGATTTTTATGGCATACAACCGGAATATGGCACTATAGAGGATTTCAGAGATATGATTGCAAAAGCCAATGAACTTGGTTTGAAAATTATTTTGGATTTTGTACCCAATCACAGTAGTACGGAAAATGAATGGTTTAAGAAATCGGTGAAACGTGAAAGAGGTTATGAAGATTATTATGTGTGGCATGATGGTAAATTAGATGCAAGTGGTAAAAGAATACCACCCAGTAATTGGTTATCAGGTTTTCGTGGCAGTGCCTGGGAATGGAATGAAGAAAGGCAGCAATATTACTTGCATCAATTTGCTGTACAACAGGCAGATTTAAATTATCGTAATCCTTTTGTGGTGGAACAAATGAAACGTGTTTTGAGATATTGGCTGGATCAGGGAGTGGCTGGTTTTCGTGTGGATGCTTTGACCTTGTTGTTTGAGGTTGACACCGATGAAAATGGTCAATATCCTGATGAAGAAGTTAGTGGGTTGACCGATGATAAGGATGATAAGAATTATTTGAAAATGGATTTAATAGAAAATCGTCCTGAAAGCATTGATATGGTATATCAATGGCATCAGGTTATGGAAACTTATAAGAAAGAATATGGCGGTGATACCCGAGTCTTGCTAATAGAAACCTATGCTCCTCCTGATTATTCCATGCAAATGTATGGTAATGCTACTACTGAAGGGGCCGAGTTGCCTTTTAATTTTAATTTAATAACTGAAATAGCTAAGAGTGGCATGTCGGCCAAGAGTATTGAAACAGGTGTTAGCAATTGGCTTAGCAATATGCCTGAGGGCCGAACAGCCAACTGGGTAATAGGTAATCATGATCAACGTAGAGCGGCTACACGTTATGGTAAACGTAACATAGATGCCATGAATATGTTGGTGATGATGTTGCCCGGTGCCAGTATTACCTATCAAGGAGAAGAATTGGGCATGTTGGATGGTGTTATCTCTTGGGAAGATACCGTCGATCCAGCTGCCTGTAATGCAAATCCTGATATATATGAACAATCTACCAGAGATCCAGCACGTACTCCGTTCCAATGGTCTTCGGATAAGTTTGGTGGTTTTACCACTGGCAGCAAAACATGGCTGCCAATGGCTCCTGACTATGAAACCCTTAATGTGGCAACAGAATCTAGTGCTACAAATTCTCATTTGAAAATCTATAAATCTTTAGTGGAACTGAGAAAATCTTCGAAAACTTTGCAACAGGGTTCTTATAAATATCAAGCTTTAAATGATAATGTTTTTGTTTTGAAAAGGTAAACTAATTTATTTTGGTTTAACGGTAACTGGGCTAATTAGTTTTCAATTCTTATTAAAGGTATTTAGCTGGTGAGGAAACTTTACTATATGTGGCCAATTTTGGGGAACAATCTACAAGTGCTAATATTGGAGCAAATTTTGATAATAGTTTACCGGCGTTTATGACTATTAAAATTGGTACTTTGGATTCGAGTAAAAATGTGAATGCTTCTCTAGCGATTTCAATTATTTCCTTAGCAGGCGGAGAGGCTGTTATATTGGCTGCTAATTAGGGCGACTTAGTTTCTTTAGACTTAAATATGTTTTATAAAAATTAAATAAAACTTTAAGCAACAAAATGTTTTTACCTTGATCAATATAAGCTGTTCGGTGAAAAGGTGAACTTTTTTTGAAGATTACATTTTTACAGGAATAATTTCTTTTTAATGAAAATTTGAATTTTTGATGAAAAATAAGATTTAATGGAAAATTTGGATTTTGAGTAAAAGATTTAATTTCTGATAAAAATTAAAAATTTTTGATGAAAATTTTGATTTATGGAAAAAAATTTGATTTTTATAAAAAATACTAATATTGAGTGGAAAATCATTTTTAGTGAAAAGTTACGAAAAGTACTCTTAGAGCAAATAAAGTTTTCAGATTTTATCCCTAATATTTTTTTCACCTTTGCTGGTCCTGCGAGCCAAACATCAGGTCTCTTGCTTAAAACTTTTGTAGATATAGAATCTGACAGTCGATCATGGAGAAGGTCAAACAAAATTTAAATACATATCACGTCAAAAATTCTCTTCTTATTATTTATATGTTGGCCCTACGAACCAAATATCGATCTTTTTCTTTAAGCATTTCAATTTATCGATAATCAAGTAGACGATCATAGAGAATAGAAATTTTATACACAAAGAGTGCACTTCCCTAATATACCTAAACAATATACATATTGTTGACATTATCATCAAAATACTTACTTAAGTTATTTTACCTTAAATCCATTAGCCAGAGATTACATAAGTGCCCATGCATAGTTGCTAGCTGTTATTATATTATCATGTAGTAAACAATACTCTTGTCAATTTTATCAATAAGCATAGAGCACATTTACGGCTCGTAGGACCAATGAACTAAACATCAGTTTTTTAGCTTTTACAAATGTAACTCAGAAAGTAGTTTTAAGATTTCACAATTTTTACTAATAATGTAGGTATTTGATGGCTCGTAGGACCAACCAATCAAACATCAGATCTTAAGCATCAAACATTTAGATTTGTCGATATTTAATTAATAAGAAATATTGAAGTGTTACACGCAAAACACACCCTAATATACATTGTTGAAAGTATCCTCAAAGTATTTACTTAAGTTATTCTTCCTTAAAACCATTAGCCAGAGATTACTGTAATTACTCATGCATAGTTGCAATCTTGCTGTCTTATCATGTAATAAACAACACTCTTGTCAGCGTTATCAAAATACATCAATATGTAGAACGTACAGGGAAATACTTCAAAACTTAAAAGCACTTCAAAAGACACTTAAGTATTCTCCAATAACGTAAGGGATTAGTAACAATTCAAGCATGTTAAAAACAACTCCAAAATTGTCGTAGGTTTTCCATAAAACAAAAGATAAAATGGAATTAACATTTCTCTAAGAAATTACTAAATATTGTAATTTATATATAAAAGTTTCATACCGCTAAAGACAATTTAGTAATTTCGAAATGTTTCATTTGAAAACATTGCAATTAAGGTTTATATTCCTCATAGCCTTGCTGCATACAGCCCTGCCATGTCAGGATAAAAGTGATCAGCAAGAGGAATTAGATTGGTGGCAAACTGCCCAATTCTATCAGATTTATCCTCGCTCTTTTATGGATTCTAATGGTGATGGTATAGGCGACTTAAATGGTATCGCCTCGAAATTGCAATATCTCAAGGATATAGGGGTAACTGCTGCTTGGCTTTCACCCATCTTTACCTCACCTATGGTGGATTTTGGTTATGATATATCCGATTTCTATGGCATACAACCGGAATATGGCACTATAGAGGATTTTAGAAACTTAATTAAAACCGCCAATGAAATTGGTATAAAAATTATTTTGGATTTCGTACCCAATCACAGTAGTACGGAAAATGAATGGTTTAAGAAATCGGTGAAACGTGAAAGAGGTTATGAGGACTATTATGTGTGGCATGATGGTAAATTAGATGCAAATGGTAAAAGAATACCGCCAAGTAATTGGCTACAGGCTTTTCGCGGCAGTGCTTGGGAATGGAATGAGGAGAGACAACAATACTACCTGCATCAATTTGCTGTACAACAGGCCGATTTAAATTATCGTAATCCCGATGTGGTGGAACAAATGAAACGTGTATTGAGATATTGGTTGGATCAGGGGGTGGCTGGTTTTCGTGTAGATGCTGTACCTGTATTGTTTGAGGTTAAGCCAGATGCAAATGGTCAATATCCTGATGAAGAAGTCAGCGGTTTGACTGATGATACAGAGGCTCGTAATTATTTGAAAATGGATTTAGTGGAAAATCAACCAGAAACTATAGATATGGTTTATCAATGGCGTCAAGTTATGGATGATCATCAGCGTATTTATGGTGGTGATACTAGGGTGTTACTGATAGAGACCTATGCTCCGCCATGGTACAGCATGCAAATGTATGGTAATGCCACTACCGAAGGCGCTGAGTTACCTTTCAACTTCAATTTAATCACCGAAGTTGCATCAAGTGGCATGTCGGCCAAGAGTATTGAAACTGGAGTTAGTAATTGGCTTAGTAATATGCCTGCTGGTCGTACAGCTAATTGGGTTATTGGTAATCATGATCAGCGTAGAGCTTCCAGCCGCTATGGTGTACGCAATATCGATGCCATGAATATGTTAGTTATGATGCTGCCTGGAGCTAGTGTCACTTATCAAGGTGAAGAATTGGGCATGTTGGATGGTGAAATCTCTTGGGAAGATACCGTAGATCCGGCTGCCTGTAATGCAAATCCTGATATATATGAACAAACTACCAGAGATCCATCACGAACTCCCTTCCAATGGTCCTCGGATAAAAATGGTGGTTTTTCTACAGCCTCTACCACCTGGTTACCTATGGCTCCTAATTATGAAACCATTAATGTGGCTAGTGAAAATGCGGCCTCAAAGTCTCATTTGAAAATCTATAAGGCTTTGATAGCGTTAAGGAAGTCATCGAAAACTTTACAGCAGGGATCTTATAAGTATAAAGCTTTAAATGATGGTGTTTTTGTTTTGAAAAGGTGGGCGAGTTTATATTGTTTTATTTATAATATTATTAACTTTTTTAAAATTTATTCGTTAGATATTTGGCTGGTGAAGAAACTTTAGTTTATGTGGCCAATTTTGGTGAAGGTTCCTATAGTGCCAATATTGTTTCTAGTTTTGATGCCACTTTACCAGATTCTATGACGGTTAAAATTACTAGTTTAGATTCTACAAAATATTCAAATGTACCCTTGACCACAACATCTATATCTTTGGCGGCCGGGAGGCTATTATTTTGGCAACAAACTGAGGAACGAAATATAAAATATTTTGGAAATAAATAGTGTAATTCAATTTCGTGTGCGTAATTTAAATCATAAATTGTAGTGAGTTTTAAATATTACTGATCCAGGGAGAGGTCAAAACCCAGAAATATTAGAGGTGGTAGCGTCCAAACATTATCGGAACATATGTTTTGCAGTATAATCTGTAGTCAATAGTCTAGTCGATAGTCCAGTGTTTAGTGTAATCTAGACTGTAGTCTCGTCTATAGTCTAGTCTATTCGATATTGTAGTATATAGTTTATTCGATAGTATATGCGATAGTCTAGTCTGTAGTCTAGTCTATAGTCTAGTCTATAGTCTAGTCTATAGTCTAGTCTATAGTCTAGTCTATAGTCTAGTCTATAGTCTAGTCTATAGTCTAGTCTATAGTCTAGTCTATAGTCTAGTCTATAGTCTAGTCTATAGTCTAGTCTATAGTCTAGTCTATAGTCTAGTCTATAGTCTAGTCTATAGTCTAGTCTATAGTCTAGTCTATAGTCTAGTCTATAGTCTAGTCTATAGTCTAGTCTATAGTCTAGTCTATAGTCTAGTCTATAGTCTAGTCTATAGTCTAGTCTATAGTCTAGTCTATAGTCTAGTCTATAGTCTAGTCTATAGTCTAGTCCAGTCTATAGTCTAGTCTATAGTCTAGTCTATAGTCTAGTCTATAGTCTAGTCTATAGTCTAGTCTATAGTCTAGTCTATGGTCTAGTCTATAGTCTAGTCTATAGTCTAGTCTATAGTCTAGTCTATTAGTCTATAGTCTATCTATAGTCTAGTCTATAGTCTAGTCTATAGTCTAGTCTATAGTCTAGTCTCTAGTCTATAGTCTAGTCTATAGTCTAGTCTATAGTCTATATAGTCTAGTCTATAGTCTAGTCTATAGTCTAGTCTATAGTCTAGTCTATAGTCTAGTCTATAGTCTAGTCTATAGTCTAGTCTATAGTCTAGTCTATAGTCTAGTCTATAGTCTAGTCTATAGTCTAGTCTATAGTCTAGTCTATAGTCTAGTCTATAGTCTAGTCTATTGTCTAGTCTATAGTCTAGTCTATAGTCTAGTCTATAGTCTAGTCTATAGTCTAGTCTATAGTCTAGTTTATAGTCTAGTCTATAGTCTAGTCTATAGTCTAGTCTATAGTCTAGTCTATAGTCTAGTCTATAGTCTAGTCTATAGTCTAGTCTATAGTCTAGTCTATAGTCTAGTCTATAGTCTAGTCTATAGTCTAGTCTATAGTCTAGTCTATAGTCTAGTCTATGTCTAGTCTAGTCTATAGTCTAGTCTATAGTCTAGTCTAGTCTATAGTCTAGTATATAGTCTAGTCTATAGTCTAGTATATAGTCTAGTCTATAGTCTAGTCTATAGTCCTAGTCTATAGTCTAGTCTATAGTCTAGTCTATAGTATAGTCTATAGTATAGTCTATAGTATAGTCTATAGTATAGTCTAGTCTATAGTCTAGTCAATGGTCTAGTCCATATTCTAGTCTATAGTTTAGTCTAAAGTCTAGTTTATAGTACTGCATACAGCCCTTCTACTAAATTGGATATATGTATGTTATTAGGTATTTGCTGGTCCTTCGAGCCAAACGTCATGCTTTTGAGTTAAGCGTTTAAGTTTGTCGATAATGAATCATAAAAATAATCTAGTTTATAGAGAAATTTTGTACACAAAAATTGTTCTACCATGATGTATATAAACAATTTTTGTATTGTATTTTTAATTGTATTGTTAAAGGTTCCAAAAACTTACTTAGGTTATTCTTCCTTAAAACCATTAGAAAGAGATCACTATAATTACTCATGTACAGCTGCAAGCTGTTATCTTATCATGTAGTAAACAATGTTTTTATTAGCGTTATCAAAATACATACGAAAACGGAAAAATATCAAAACTTAAGGAGCTTAACCCATTAGATCCCCAACACCTTAAGTTCTAAAGTAATACAATTTTACAAATAGCTCAGTAATATATATAATATTGCAATAACAAACCAGTTGTTTTTTGTACCCAATCGAGTACAGTTGTAACAAATGGGTTAAATATTCTCTAATAACTTAAGGGTTGAGTTACAATTGAATTATTATGTGAAAAACATCTTCAAAATATAGTTTTGACTCAACACTTCAGTAACAAATAATCAAATAAATGGAAATTATATATAAAAAATTTATACCGCTAAAGAAACTTTAGTAATTTCGAAATGTTTCATTTAAAAACATTGCAATTAAGGTTTATATTCCTAATAGCCTTTCTGCATACAGCCCTGCCATGTCAGGATACAAGCGATCAGCAAGAGGAATTGGATTGGTGGCAAACTGCTCAATTCTATCAAATTTATCCCCGTTCTTTTATGGATTCTAATGGTGATGGTATAGGTGACTTAAATGGTATCGCCTCGAAACTACAATATCTCAAGGATTTAGGGGTAACGGCTGCATGGCTCTCACCCATATTTACATCACCTATGGTGGATTTTGGTTATGATATATCCGATTTCTATGACATACAACCGGAATATGGCACTATAGAGGATTTTCGAAACTTAATTAAAACCGCCAATGAAATTGGTATAAAAATCATTTTAGATTTTGTACCGAATCACAGTAGTACGGAAAATGAATGGTTTAAGAAATCGGTGAAACGTGAAAAAGGTTATGAGGACTATTATGTGTGGCATGATGGTAAATTGGATGAAAATGGCAATAGAATACCACCCAGCAATTGGTTACAGTCTTTTCGTGGCAGTGCTTGGGAATGGAATGAGGAGAGGCAGCAATACTACCTGCATCAATATGTTGTACAACAGGCCGATTTAAATTATCGTAATCCCGATGTGGTAGAACAAATGAAACGTGTGTTAAGATATTGGTTGAATCAAGGGGTGGCTGGTTTTCGTATAGATGCTGTACCGATGTTGTTTGAGGTAAAACCAGATGAAAATGGTCAATATCCTGACGAAGAAGTAAGTGGTTTGACTAATGATACCGAGGCGAGAAATTATTTGAAAACGGATTTAGTGGAAAATCGACCAGAAACCATTGATATGGTTTATCAATGGCGTCAAGTTATGGATGATCATCAGCGTATTTATGGCGGCGATACTAGGGTTTTACTTATTGAGACCTATGCTCCACCATGGTACAGCATGCAAATGTATGGTAATGCCACTACCGAGGGTGCTGAGTTGCCATTCAATTTTAATTTAATCACTGAAGTTGCTTCAAGTGGCATGTCGGCCAAGAGTATTGAAACGGGTGTCAGCAATTGGCTTAGTAATATGCCTGCTGGTCGTACAGCTAATTGGGTTATTGGTAATCATGATCAGCGTAGAGCTTCCAGTCGCTATGGTGTACGCAATATCGATGCCATGAATATGTTAGTTATGATGCTGCCTGGAGCAAGTGTCACTTATCAAGGTGAAGAATTGGGCATGTTGGATGGTGAAATCTCTTGGGAAGATACCGTAGATCCAGCTGCCTGTAATGCAAATCCTGATATATATGAAGAAAGTACCAGAGATCCAGCACGTACTCCCTTCCAATGGTCCTCGGATAAAAATGGTGGTTTTTCTACAGCGTCTACCACCTGGTTGCCTATGGCTCCTAATTATGAAACCATTAATGTGGCTAGTGAAAATGCTGCTATCAACTCCCACTTGAAAATCTATAAGGCTTTGATAGAGTTGAGAAAGTCATCGAAAACTTTGCAGCAGGGTTCTTATAAGTATAAAGCTTTAAATGATGGTGTTTTTGTTTTGAAAAGGTGGGCGAGTTTATATTGTTTTATTTATAATATTATTAACTTTTTGAAATTTTATTCATTAGATATTTGGCTGGTGAGGAAACTTTAGTTTATTTGGCTAATTTTGGTGAAGGTTCCTATAGTGCCAATATTGTTACTAGTTTTGATGCCACTTTACCCGATACCATGTCAGTTAAAATTACTAGTTTAGATTCTACAAAATATTCAAATGTACCCTTGACCACAACATCTATATCTTTGGCGGCCGGGGAGGCTATTATTTTGGGCACACAATAGGGAAAATATATTTCTGATTTTTAGCTAACCGATAATGTTTTTGGAAATAAAGAAAATTATTCAATTCCGTGTGTGTGTACAATTTTAAACAGTTTAGTCTAGTCTGTAGCTAAGTCTTTAGTTCAGTATATAGTCTAGTCTGTATGCTAGCCTAATCTATATTCTAGTCTACAGTCTAGTCTATAGTCTGGTCTATAGTCTAGTCTATAGTCAAGTCTATAGTCAAGGCTATAGTCAAGTTTATAGTCTAGTCTATAGTCTAGTCTGTAGTCTAGTCTATAGTCTAGTCTATAGTCTAGTCTATAATCTAGTCTATAGTCTAGTTTATAGTCTAGTCTATAATCTAGTCTATAGTCTAGTTTATAGTCTAGTCTATAATCTAGTCTATAGTCTAGTCTATAGTCTAGTCTATAGTCTAGTCTATAGTCTAGTCTATAGTCTAGTCTATAGTCTAGTCTATAGTCTAGTCTATAGTCTAGTCTATAGTCTAGTCTATAGTCTAGTCTATAGTCTAGTCTATAGTCTAGTCTATAGTCTAGTCTATAGTCTAGTCTATAGTCTAGTCTATAGTCTAGTCTATAGTCTAGTCTATAGTCTAGTCTATAGTCTAGTCTATAGTCTAGTCTATAGTCTAGTCTATAGTCTAGTCTATAGTCTAGTCTATAGTCTAGTCTATAGTCTAGTCTATAGTCTAGTCTATAGTCTAGTATATAGTCTAGTATATAGTCTAGTCTATAGTCTAGTATATAGTCTAGTCTATAGACTAGTCTATAGTCTAGTCTATAGTCTAGTCTATAGTCTAGTCTATAGTCTAGTTTATAGTCTAGTCTATAGTCTAGTCTATAGTCTAGTCTATAGTCTAGTCTATAGTCTAGTCTATAGTCTAGTCTATAGTCTAGTCTATAGTCTAGTCTAGTCTATAGTCTAGTCTATAGTCTAGTCTATAGTCTAGTCTATAGTCTAGTCTATAGTCTAGTCTATAGTATAGTATATAGTCTAGTATATAGTCTAGTCTATAGTCTAGTATATAGTCTAGTCTATAGTCTAGTATATAGTCTAGTCTATAGACTAGTCTATAGTCTAGTCTATAGTCTAGTCTATAGTCTAGTTTATAGTCTAGTCTATAGTCTAGTCTATAGTCTAGTCTATAGTCTAGTCTATAGTCTAGTCTATAGTCTATTCTATAGTCTAGTCTATAGTCTAGTCTATAGTCTAGTTTATAGTCTAGTCTATAGTCTAGTCTATAGTCTAGTCTATAGTCTAGTCTATAGTCTAGTCTATAGTCTATTCTATAGTCTAGTCTATAGTCTAGTCTATTGTCTATAATCTAGTCTATAGTCTAGTCTATAGTCTAGTTTATAGTCTAGTCTATAGTCTAGTCTATAGCCTAGTCTATAGTCTAGTCTATAGCCTAGTCTATAGTATAGTCTGTACTCTAGTATATAGCTTAGTATATAGTCTAGTGTACAGTCTTGTCTATACTCTAGTATATAGTTTAATGTTCATTCTAGTGTATAATCTAGTCTTTGGTCCAGTCTTTAATTTAGTCTATAGTCTACTCTTTAGTTTATTCTATAGCCTTATCTATAGTTTATTCGGGTCCATAGTCTAATAGACCATCTACTCTATAGAGTCATAGTCTAATCTGTATGAAAAAATACCACATTGTTTACATTCCAAATATACCTTTGATCTTCATTCTCATTTATTTACCAAATAAAACTCAGTTTTCTTTTTGTTTTATATATTTTTAAATACATTTATTTTATTATTTTCAATATTAAATTTTTTCTGATTTTTTTTATTTTCATTTTATAAATCTTTAAGATTTTATTTGTATTTTTTTCTTTTACTACAAATTTATCATTTTAATAACAATTTGTAGTTAATAATTTTTTCCATAATTTAAATATAAAGTTTTTCTTTTGCACATCACATACATTACATGTGTAAAAGTATGTACGAAGTTTTTTTTATGTTTAATATAATAACAATTTAAATATATATTTTTTTAAATTTATATATATAATTTTTTGCTATCAAAGACAATATATTTATAAACTTTTTTCTTTTTGTTTTATTTTAAATGTAATAAATTTAAAGTATACAATACAGAACTCATAAACTTTATAAGTTTTCATATATTTCATCAAGTATTTATGCTTTACTTTTTATTTTTCTCCTAGCTCCTAATTGTAGGCTATGGAATTTTATTTTATATGTATATATTTAAAATTTTTTGTTTAAAGGAAGAGAAAGTGGGAGTTTCTTTTTATATACAAACTAATAATATAGAAGAGAAAATAGAAAACACTTAATAATAATTAGTAAGTTTCTATTTTGTGGTTGTTTTTACATTTATAAAAATTCATTATAACTAGTAGTTTTTATTTTCTCATAAATTTATATAATATTTTAGAATAAATTTATTTAAACTAACCAACAAATATTTTATTAGTTTTTCTAATAGTTTTAAATTTATTTTATTTAGAACAAATACATCTACTTACAAACACTTATATATTTACATAGAGAAAATTTATACACAATAAAAAAAAAAAACTAAAACCAAAGTATGTGTAAGAAACTGTATATTCAACGGAAGTAGTTTATTATTTTTGAATTCCTTGTTTTGATTTATGAAAGAAACACACACTATTATGTAGTAGATATTATTTTAATTAAAAATATTTTTACAAATTGTTGTTTTTATAATTTGTGTATACACTTGTTTAGCAATTAAGTAAAATATCTACGTAATTAATTCATTTAGACAATTTTTTTTTCAAATATTTACAATTTTTACTCCATTTTATTTAATTTGTTATAATATTTATTTTATTTTAATATTTATACATATTTTTGCATTGGAAGTTTATTGAGCTTTAAATTTGTTGTTGTTAATTTCTTTAAATATTTGTACAACAATTAGAATTTTATTATGTTGCTGGGCTCAGAGGCAACATAAATAAATTAATTGTTGACAATGTTTTGTGTTATTGTTCTAAGAAAGAAGAATGCAAATAACTTTTTATTTTGTTATAATTTAATATGAGTATAAAAATAACAAAAAATGTATATCACACAATGTTTTTGATTGAAACTACAACATAATATTAAATCAAATTTAGTTAAAGTCTCAATAAAATTGAATAAACATTAATTAGGTAATTTGACAGTAATTAAAAAAGCAATTAATTTAGTGAAGTCCGAAGGCTAGTCTAGCTAATAGTTTAGACAAGAGTCTAGTCTATAGTCTAGTCTATAGTCTAGTCTATAGTCTAGTCTATAGTCTAGGCTATAGTCTAGTCTATAGTCTAGTCTATAGTCTAGTCTATAGTCTAGTCTATAGTCTAGTCTATAGTCTAGTCTATAGTCTAGTCTATAGTCTAGTCTATAGTCTAGTCTATAGTCTAGTCTATAGTCTAGTCTATAGTCTAGTCTATAGTCTAGTCTATAGTCTAGTCTATAGTCTAGTCTATAGTCCTAGTCTATAGTCTAGTCTATAGTCTAGTCTATAGTCTAGTCTATAGTCTAGTCTATAGTCTAGTCTATAGTCTAGTCTATAGTCAGTCTATAGTCTAGTCTATAGTCTAGTCTTAGTCTAGTCTAGTAGTCTAGTTATAGTCTAGTCTATAGTCTAGTCTATAGTCTAGTTTATAGTCTAGTTATAGTACTAGTCTATAGTCCTAGTCTATAGTCTAGTCTATAGTCTAGTCGATAGTCTAGTCTATAGTCTAGTCTATAGTCTAGTCTATAGTCTAGTCTATAGTCTAGTCTAAGTCTAGTCTATAGTCTAGTCCTATAGTCTAGTCTATAGTCTAGTCTATAGTCTAGTCTATAGTCCTAGTCTATAGTCTAGTCTATAGTCTAGTTCTATAGTCTAGTCTATAGTCTAGTCTATAGTCTAGTCTATAGTCTAGTCTATATCTAGTCTATAGTCTAGTCTATAGTCTAGTCTATAGTCTAGTCTATAGTCTAGTCTATAGTCTAGCTAGTCTAGTCTATAGTCTAGTCTATGTCTGTCTATAGTCTAGTATATAGTCTAGTCTATAGTCTAGTCTATAGTCTAGTCTATAGTCTAGTCTATAGTCTAGTCCTATAGTCTAGTCTATAGTCTAGTCTATAGTCTAGTCTATAGTCTAGTCTATAGTCTAGTCTATAGTCTAGTCTATAGTCTAGTCTATAGTCTAGTCTATAGTCTAGTCTATAGTCTAGTCTATAGTCTAGTCTATAGTCTAGTCTATAGTCTAGTCTATAGTCTAGTCTATAGTCTAGTCTATAGTCTAGTCTATAGTCTAGTCTATAGTCTAGTCTATAGTCTAGTCTATAGTCTAGTCTATAGTCTAGTCTATAGTCTAGTCTATAGTCTAGTCTATAGTCTAGTCTATAGTCTAGTCTATAGTCTAGTCTATAGTCTAGTCTATAGTCTAGTATTAGTCTAGTCTATAGTCTAGTCTATAGTCTAGTCTATAGTCTAGTCTATAGTCTAGTCTATAGTCTAGTCTATAGTCTAGTCTATAGTCTAGTCTATAGTCTAGTCTATAGTCTAGTCTATAGTCTAGTCTATAGTCTAGTCTATAGTCTAGTCTATAGTCTAGTCTATAGTCTAGTCTATAGTCTAGTCTATAGTCTAGTCTATAGTCTAGTCTATAGTCTAGTCTATAGTCTAGTCTATAGTCTAGTCTATAGTCTAGTCTATAGTCTAGTCTAAAGTCTAGTCTATAGTCTAGTCTATAGTCTAGTCTATAGTCTAGTCTATAGTCTAGTCTATAGTCTAGTCTATAGTCTAGTCTATAGTCTAGTCTATAGTCTAGTCTATAGTCTAGTCTATAGTCTAGTCTATAGTCTAGTCTATAGTCTAGTCTATAGTCTAGTCTATAGTCTAGTCTATAGTCTAGTCTATTGTCTAGTCTATAGTCTAGTCTATAGTCTATATCTATAGTCTAGTCTATAGTCAGTCTATAGTCTAGTCTATAGTCTAGTCTATAGTCTAGTCTATAGTCTAGTCTATAGTCTAGTCTATAGTCTAGTCTATAGTCCTAGTCTATAGTCTCGTCTATAGTCTAGTCTATAGTCTAGTCTATGTCTAGTCTATAGTCTAGTCTAGTCTAGTCTATAGTCTAGTCTATAGTCTAGTCTATAGTCTAGTCTATGGTCTAGTCTATAGTCTAGTCTATGGTCTAGTCTACGGTCTAGTCTATAGTCTAGTCTATAGTCTAGTCTATAGTCTAGTCTATAGTCCAGTCTATAATCACTAGTCTAGTTTATATTCTAGTCAATTGTTTAGACAATAGTCCATAGGTTAGTCTATAATTTGGATTGTAGGCTAATCAAAACTTAGTCTATAGTTAAGTCCATATTCTTGGCTAAAGCCTAATCTTTAGTCTAGTGTATAGTATAGACTATACTCTAGTTTATAGAGTAGTCCGTAGACTAATATATATTCTAGTTTATAGTCTAGTTTATTGTGTAGCCTTTAGTCTAGTCTATAGCCTAGTCAGTAGTCTATAGAGTAGTCTGATCTATAGTCATGTGTATTGTATAGTCTATATTGAAGTCTATATACTATAGCTTAGTCTATACTCTAGTTTGTGGCATAGCGTATTATCTGGTCTTTACACTATAGTCTAGTCTTTAACCTAGTCTACTGTCTAGTCTAAATAGTGCTCTATAGTCTGGCATTTAGTGTAGTCTATGGTCGACTAGAACTAGTCTAATGTATGTTCTAGTCCATAGTTTGGCTATAGTCTTTTCAATGTGTAGTCTATGGTCTAGTCTAGTCAAAAGTGTAGTCCGTAATTTAGTGTATAGTTTAGTCAATAGTCTAGTCTATTGTTTAGTGCAGTATATAGGCTAGGCTATTGTATAGTCCAGTATATAGTCTAGTCTAGCCTAGTCTACTGTATAGTCCATAGTCTTGTGTATGACTTAGTCTATCATCTGGTCTATAGTTTTGTTTATCGTCTAGGCTATATTCTATTTCTTTTAATTTAAAAACTCATCTCATTTCTTTTGTTTAAAAACTTTTATAAAAATCTCCTATATAATGTTTAATTCAATTCTGTTGCTATACTTTAACAATTTTTTGCAACAATTATAAAACAAATATTTTATCTGCTCCAAAAAAAAAAATCAAAGTTATGGAAGCAAACTAGTGTGTTTGTTACTGGAGTTTTTGTTTAGTAAATATTTTTCTATTTTTAGTTTTTTATTAAAATATTAAAAACTAACTAATCGTAAGTGGAAAACTTTTATTATGCTGGTTTATTTTATACACACACATTTACACGAAACTTATTTTTTTTTGTTTTAAGTTTTACTAAAAGTTTAGATTTGTATTCGTTTTTTTTTGATTTTCATAAATAAATATTTAGACAATTTATTTTATACCAAAAATTTTATACATACATAGTTATATGTATGTATTAAGCAGTCCTTTTTCATACACTTAACATATTAAAGAGGAGCAGTTTTAATTTTTGGGGAAGTAATCCAAGTTTAAACTTAGTTTTAAATGAAATTAAGAATTTATAATTGTGGCAACTATTTAGGAAATGAAGAAGTTACAAATTTTGAGAATTTTTGAATTCTTTTATCCCGACACACTCGCTAATCTGAAGCTCTGCTACTGCTCCCACTTTTTAGAATTACATTTCAATTTTTTAACTAATACTCCTGTACACATACATATATATATAACTTACAGCCTTAAACTAAAATATTTATAAATATTTTTATCTTATTTAGTTTTTCTATTCTAAACTGGAATAGCACAACGTTTTTTACCCGTACTACTTTCACGACTTAAGGAAGAATTTAAAGCAGTAGTACTTACATTATTATTACTAGTCTGAGAACCTTTGGTGGAGCCATTGTGCGAAGATAAACTGCCGCCAGCACCACTAATATCACAACCAACGACTGCGGGAGCTGCACAAGCTGTTGCATTCATAACTCCTGTACTGCTACCACTACCACTACTACTACTGCTGCAACTTAGGGAAGAATTAAATAAATTGTCAGACGACTTAGAGTCGGTTAGGTTTTTATGTTTTTCATTGTATGATGATGAAGATGAACTTTTAGTTGTGGCTATAACTGTTGCTGTTGTACATTCAGTTGTTGTTGGTGGGTTGGTAGCAGTTGTTGTGGATGTTGGTGTTGCTGTTGTTGTTGCTGTTGTTGTTGCTTCAACATAATTATGTTGACACTTTAAGGGCTATAAACTGGTGGTTAAAACTGTATTCGCTTTTATACACCCTGTTGATTCGTTGTGTAAATTTGTTGTTGTTGTTGTTGCTGGCACAACATTTGTTGTCGCTGTTGTTGTTGCCAAAATATGATTACTACAGCTGCTCATATTTAGGGCTGTAGTTGTGGCACCCATCAAACCATTAATGGTCGAAGACATTGTCATATTGTGCGTAGTCGCAACTGCTGCCCCCACGGCAGAATTCATATGATTTGTACTATTATGCTGCTGTTGATTAATTTTATTATTATTGGCCACTGTACGCGCCATTTCATCAACAGCAGCAGTACCTATGCCAACCCTGCTGGTATTATTATGATGATTTTCCTTATCACTCACCTCATTATGATTATTATTTGGCACATATTGATCGGCGTATGGTATTTGATTGTACGCCGTACTATCTAAATTTGTAAATATGCTTGTAATGGTTATTGTTTGTGTTGCCATTTCGCATAGTTTCTTTTTCTGGACACTGTGTTCAGTGTTGGTGGGTGTGATATGTTTTTGGATTTTTTCCTCTTGGGCACAGGTGGCCGCTGTAACCACAGCTGCTGCCATCATGGACGAGGGTCCTGTGTTGGCAGTACGATGCATGTTGGTGTAGCGTGGTGGCATCATACTTTGTCGGACATTACGTTCTGGTCTTATTAGTATGATGTATAACTGTTGCGGCAAATGTGACATTGGTTTGAGGGCAAACGGGAAGAGAAAATAAAAACGAAATGTTGGTTAGTAGTTAGTCATGTTTCAGGCATGTTTTATTAGTACTAGTTTTTCCTTGTAAGGGTTGTACTTGGATGAGGTATGTTTGTATATTAGGCTGACTTCTCTAAAGACTATTTTTAGTTCTAGTTCAGTTCTAGTTCAGTTCTAGTTCAGTTCTAGTTCAGTTCTAGTTCAGTTCTAGTTCAGTTCTAGTTCAGTTCTAGTTCAGTTCTAGTTCAGTTCTAGTTCAGTTCTAGTTCAGTTCTAGTTCAGTTCTAGTTCAGTTCTAGTTCAGTTCTAGTTCAGTTCTAGTTCAGTTCTAGTTCAGTTCTAGTTCAGTTCTAGTTCAGTTCTAGTTCAGTTCTAGTTCAGTTCTAGTTCAGTTCTAGTTCAGTTCTAGTTCAGTTCTAGTTCAGTTCTAGTTCAGTTCTAGTTCAGTTCTAGTTCAGTTCTAGTTCAGTTCTAGTTCAGTTCTAGTTCAGTTCTAGTTCAGTTCTAGTTCAGTTCTAGTTCAGTTCTAGTTCAGTTCTAGTTCAGTTCTAGTTCAGTTCTAGTTCAGTTCTAGTTCAGTTCTAGTTCAGTTCTAGTTCAGTTCTAGTTCAGTTCTAGTTCAGTTCTAGTTCAGTTCTAGTTCAGTTCTAGTTCAGTTCTAGTTCAGTTCTAGTTCAGTTCTAGTTCAGTTCTAGTTCAGTTCTAGTTCAGTTCTAGTTCAGTTCTCGTTCAGTTGTAGTTCAGTTCTATTTCAGTTCTATTTCAGTTCTAGTTCAGTTCTAGTTCAGTTCTAGTTCAGTTCTAGTTCAGTTCTAGTTCAGTTCTAGTTCAGTTCTAGTTCAGTTCTAGTTCAGTTCTAGTTCAGTTCTAGTTCAGTTCTAGTTCAGTTCTAGTTCAGTTCTAGTTCAGTTCTAGTTCAGTTCTAGTTCAGTTCTAGTTCAGTTCTAGTTCAGTTCTAGTTCAGTTCTAGTTCAGTTCTAGTTCAGTTCTAGTTCAGTTCTAGTTCAGTTCTAGTTCAGTTCTAGTTCAGTTCTAGTTCAGTTCTAGTTCAGTTCTAGTTCAGTTCTAGTTCAGTTCTAGTTCAGTTCTAGTTCAGTTCTAGTTCAGTTCTAGTTCAGTTCTAGTTCAGTTCTAGTTCAGTTCTAGTTCAGTTCTAGTTCAGTTCTAGTTCAGTTCTAGTTCAGTTCTAGTTCAGTTCTAGTTCAGTTCTAGTTCAGTTCTAGTTCAGTTCTAGTTCAGTTCTAGTTCAGTTCTAGTTCAGTTCTAGTTCAGTTCTAGTTCAGTTCTAGTTCAGTTCTAGTTCAGTTCTAGTTCAGTTCTAGTTCAGTTCTAGTTCAGTTCTAGTTCAGTTCTAGTTCAGTTCCAGTTCAGTTCTAGTTCAGTTCTAGTTCAGTTCTAGTTCAGTTCTAGTTCAGTTCTAGTTCAGTTCTAGTTCAGTTCTAGTTCAGTTCTAGTTCAGTTCTAGTTCAGTTCTAGTTCAGTTCTAGTTCCGTTCTAGTTCAGTTCTAGTACAGTTCTAGTTCAGTTCTAGTTCAGTTCAGTTCAGTTCAGTTCTAGTTCAGTTCTAGTTCAGTTCTAGTTCTAGTTCAGTTCTAGTTCAGTTCTAGTTCAGTTCTAGTTCAGTTCTAGTTCAGTTCTAGTTCAGTTCTAGTTCAGTTCTAGTTCAGTTTCAGTTCTAGTTCAGTTCTAGTTCAGTTCTAGTTCAGTTCTAGTTCAGTTCTAGTTCAGTTCTAGTTCAGTTCTAGTTCAGTTCTAGTTCAGTTCTAGTTCAGTTCTAGTTCAGTTCTAGTTCAGTTCAGTTCAGTTCTAGTTCAGTTCTAGTTCAGTTCTAGTTCAGTTCTAGTTTCAGTTTCTAGTTCAGTTCTAGTTCAGTTCTAGTTCAGTTCTAGTTCAGTTCTAGTTCAGTTCTAGTTCAGTTCTAGTTCAGTTCTAGTTCAGTTCTAGTTCAGTTCTAGTTCAGTTCTAGTTCAGTTCTAGTTCAGTTCTAGTTCAGTTCTAGTTCAGTTCTAGTTCAGTTCTAGTTCAGTTTCTAGTTCAGTTCTAGTTCAGTTCTAGTTCAGTTCTAGTTCAGTTCTAGTTCAGTTCTAGTTCAGTTCTAGTTTCAGTTCTAGTTCAGTTCTAGTTCAGTTCAATTCTAGTTCATTCAGTTGTAATTCAGATCTATTTCACTTCTACATTATGTAGTCATATGTAGCAAATGCTTGAATAACATAGCAATTTTTTTATCAAATTTTTCTTTAAATTTCATTAGGAGAAGTTTTCTTTTGTTGGCCTGTAGTGCATTAAGAGTTTATTATGTTGGACTAGGTAATTATGCAGTTGGACAAGGTATTAGGTAAACATTTTATTCCAGGAATAAATGGAATTATTAAGTGATTGTTTTTTGTTTAACATGTTGCATAATTTTAATTAAGTTGTAAACTTTACATTACATTTATTCCAGGAATAAGACATATCTAAGAAAAACTGATACCTAGGTGAATGTTTGTAACAGGATAAGCAAAATATAATGAAAAATGTTAGAGAAATATGTTTAAGTATTTGAAGCTTTTTAAAATATTACTTTTATTTCTAAAACTTTGAAAAAAAACAGTAATTAAGTTTACAACATTTTCTCAATTAAAAACTTTCTTTATCGTTTGCAGAAACTAAATTCCGAATTATTTTTATTTAATGTTATTAAAGTAATCTAGGAAAAGTTTTATTTTTCATATAGTTATAAATCTCTTTCATAATCTTTTGTTGAATTCTTTACGTATAAGTAATATTTATTACTTTTAAGTAATTTAATAATAATAAAATATTGTTATTTTTTTATCTTGTTATTTACACAAGAACATAAAACACAATTTGTAATACTTTCACAGGGACATGTGAGATTGTTTTACTTAATAAAATAAATGAATGAATATTTCCCTAGTTACTGCAAACATATGGACTAATAAATTGATTACTAATTTTTATATACAAACAATATTGAATTTCAATAGAAACAAAATAAGGAAAAATGTGTTTAAAAATAATAGGGTGTTCCTTTTGAAATGTTATGCTCTCATAGATTTCTGGAAGCTATAGACTCCTTATCATCTGATAGTATAGATGTCATAAAGACTAAACAATAGGCTTAATCATAGACTAGACAATAGGTTAGACTAAAGACGGGACTATGGACTAGACTATACAGATTAAACTAAGTACACAAATCTTTCGGATTCAAATATTTATTTAAGGGACTCCCTTGAAACTTATAACACTAAGTGTTCTGTAACTTACCTTGGGAGAAAATAGACAAGCTATGGTAACACTGGCCGACAAACTTATTGTCACCGACATTGATGTTATTCTCAGGGGTACATGATTAGCCGTACCAAAATATAATGGAACAAATGCCAGCCAAATGACACATGTGGTATACATTGTAAATCCTGGGGGAGAAAGAGAAAAACAAAAATAACAACAAAAATTAATAGACAGAAAAGAATGTAAACATACAAACAAATAAAAAGGAAATAAATAAATAAATGAATAAATAAAACAACAAAAGTTATTAATAGCAATAACACAAACATGTGTACAACAAATTGTTTGATAACAAACAAAAAAATCCACAATTGTTTACGAAAATACTACAGCTAGTGACAAACAAAATTGCCCACTTACCGATATGTTTTGATTCGTTGAATGCCTCTGGTATTTTGCGTGTTAACACCGCATACACAGTACACACCACGATCAGTACAATGGGATAAAAGAATGCTATAACATACGAGGCATCGATGTATGAATCACAAACCAATAGATTATCTTCGCGTGTTGGATGATAATGTTTGGCATGTGATGGTGCTATTAACATCCAAACACCATTAATTAATATCTGCAATTGAAAAGCGAAGTTAAGGAAATTTCCCAAATTAATATTTAATTGTTAAACATAATTAGCAGCGCTCAAAGTTAATTAATATAGTATGTGGACGCACCTGTATGGAAATAAAAAACGAACAAATAACCAACTGTGACTTGGGACTTATAAATGAAGGCCGTTTGGCAGATTGTTTGCCGGCTTTAAAAATGCGTGCTATACGATTGGTTTTCGTTAGTAGAGCAGCATAGACAACGGTGAAGCAGAAACCAACGCTGAATCTGTAGGAGTAGGAAAAAGATATTGATTTAAATGAAACTATTAATTATAGGGAAAGCAGAATAAGCGAATAAATGAAATATTAATCATTTTAAGAATAAATGAAATATTAATCATTTTTAATGTTCTGCTAAGTGGTATTATTAGCAGGATGTATTTTAGTAGGTAGACTTTAAATAGATGCCAATATTTTTGAAAACAACTTCTAAACTATAGACATAACTAATCTATGTAGAACTGAATTAGAACTGAACTAGAACTGAACTAGAACTGAACTAGAACTAAACTAGAACTAAACTAGAACTAAACTAGAACTGAACTAGAACTGAACTAGAACTGAACAAGAACTGAACTAGAACTGAACTAGAACTGAACTAGAACTGAACTAGAACTAGAACTGAACTAGAACTGAACTAGAACTGAACTAGAACTGAACTAGAACTGAACTAGAACTGAACTAGAACTGAACTAGAACTGAACTAGAACTGAACTAGAACTGAACTAGAACTGAACTAGAACTGAACTAGAACTGAACTAGAACTGAACTAGAACTGAACTAGAACTGAACTAGATCTGAACTAGAACTGAACTAGAACTGAACTAGAACTGAACTAGAACTGAACTAGAACTGAACTAGAACTGAACTAGAACTGAACTAGAACTGAACTAGAACTGAACTAGAACTGAACTAGAACTGAACTAGAACTGAACTAGAACTGAACTAGAACTGAACTAGAACTGAACTAGAACTGAACTAGAACTGAACTAGAACTGAACTAGAACTGAACTAGAACTGAACTAGAACTGAACTGAACTAGAACTGAACTAGAACTGAACTAGAACTGAACTAGAACTGAACTAGAACTGAACTAGAACTGAACTAGAACTGAACTAGAACTGAACTAGAACTGAACTAGAACTGAACTAGAACTGAACTAGAACTGAACTAGAACTGAACTAGAACTGAACTAGAACTGAACTAGAACTGAACTAGAACTGAACTAGAACTGAACTAGAACTGAACTAGAACTGAACTAGAACTGAACTAGAACTGAACTAGAACTGAACTAGAACTGAACTAGAACTGAACTAGAACTGAACTAGAACTGAACTAGAACTGAACTAGAACTGAACTAGAACTGAACTAGACTGAACTAAACTGAACTAGAACTGAACTAGAACTGAACTAGAACTGAACTAGAACTGAACTAGAACTGAACTAGAACTGAACTAGAACTGAACTAGAACTGAACTAGAACTGAACTAGAACTGAACTAGAACTGAACTAGAACTGAACTAGAACTGAACTAGAACTGAACTAGAACTGAACTAGAACTGAACTAGAACTGAACTAGAACTGAACTAGAACTGAACTAGAACTGAACTAGAACTGAACTAGAACTGAACTAGAACTGAACTAGAACTGAACTAGAACTGAACTAGAACTGAACTAGAACTGAACTAGAACTGAACTAGAACTGAACTAGAACTGAACTAGAACTGAACTAGAACTGAACTAGAACTGAACTAGAACTGAACTAGAACTGAACTAGAACTGAACTAGAACTGAACTAGAACTGAACTAGAACTGAACTAGAACTGAACTAGAACTGAACTAGAACTGAACTAGAACTGAACTAGAACTGAACTAGAACTGAACTAGAACTGAACTAGAACTGAACTAGAAACTGAACTAGAACTGAACTAGAACTGAACTAGAACTGAACTAGAACTGAACTAGAACTGAACTAGAAGTGAACTAGAACTGAACTAGAACTGAACGAGTCTATACTATCAGCTTTTTATATATTTTTCTTTTTTGCCCCTTTTAACTTATTTTCTTATATGTCATTTAAAGTTTATCCTCGTTTTTTCCACATTTAACTTTTTCTTATGTGGCAATTACTCTTTGTACCGTTTTTTAACCACCCACAAAATGCTGAGATTTAATTTTTTTAACATAACTGCTATTTATATCCAAACCACAGCCTCGGAAATTGAGGTAACAACATTACGAAACATGCAAATGTTAAATGCAAATCCAAGTCAAAATATACCAAAAGCCATAAAAATAGCAATAATGCTAGTTAGACTAACTTTTCCTTGTGTAAATACATATGTATTTGTAGCCCACAAAAATAATATATAGAAATAAGAAAATAAAAAGATGTTCTAAACTTACCTTTGTATGGCACACACAATATTTGTTGGCTTTAGGACCAGAGCAAAGGTAACCGCATAACACATTAAAATACCAGCTAGTAAAATGTAACTCAGTTCTCTGCCGGATGCACGTACAATTGGTGTATCATTATGTCTGTAGAAAGGATTGTTTTGGTTTCAGCATACAAAAGGGGTTTTTGAAAATTCCAGCCACATTAATGTGAGAGTTTAATGTGGTTTGTATAAAGAGCAAGAATTATAGGACGTAGAACAAAATTGTAAAATATGAGAATCATTATAAGTGTAAATGAAATTTTAATAAAAATTTATTTAGTTTTTTTATCTTCACATATACCAATGAAGTATGTTTGTTAAACGTACTTAAGTATATGTGTGTGTTTATATAAACCTTTAACTTAAACAACGTTGACCTTATTTAAAAAGTGTGTGGGTTTTTTTGATATTTTTTTTCTTAGATTAAAAGATTTTATATCAAGGATTTACAGATTTCTTTAAGTTAAAATGATGCTTTATTTTTTGATTTATTTTATAATGAGACTCACATACCTACATACGTATGTATATGCTTATTTAGTAATCTTGTCTACTGCGTATAAGTAATATTAAATTCATATGAACAATTTAATATCAAACATACGTACTGTTGTGCTGCATTTAACAATAATCATACGCCTTGTTTTTTTAATTTTCTTAAGGACTTAAATTTATTTTGAAATTGCTAGATATTAGACTTGACTATATAGTCTGGATAATAGACTACATTATAATCGGGACTATAGATTACAATATAGTCTGGACAATTGACCAGGCTAGACTATGGTTTGGACAATTCACTAGATTATAGCCTGGAATATAGACGTGACTATTGTCTGGATAATAGGTTAGATTATAATCTGGACAATAGACTAGGCTATAGGTTAGACTGTATTCTGAACAACAGAGTAGCTTACAATCTGGCTGACAGACTAGACTATTGTCTGGACAATAGACAAGACTGTAGTCTGAAAATAGACTTGACTATAGTCTGCACAGTTGACAATTGGCTAGACTGTGGCCTGGACGATAGATGATATTGTAGTCTGGTCAATATTCTCGCTTACAGTCTCTTTTCTATCGAGTGGATGATAGACTAAACTACAGTCTGGACTATAGATCTTAGTCTCCTTGATAGATTGTACTCTTGATGATTGATGAATTAGATTCAAGTATTTCTATTATATTTAAAATTTTCAAAAATGTTTCTCAACAATTTTTTTTTTTTTGATTTAAATTATTTTCTTAACTGTCTTTTAGTTAAGTTTTATTTATACACTTTTACCAAAGTCGAAACCACTTGAAACAAATAGAGAGAAAAAAATCTTAAGCTTGATATTGTATGCAATAACTTGCTCTAGAATATATTGAATTTCGTAAAAACTTTTGAACATGTTGTGTGTAAAACGTCGTTTAAAGTTATAGTTTATTTATCTCTTCAAACGTAAGAAAAACCTTAACAACATCTAACGTTATCTTAATGAAAATATATGAAGATGGAAATATAAAATAAAAGTCTTTAAAAAAAAGGAAATTCTCTACTTGACCATGCTCTCCTTCTAATACGTGTGCAAGTACTTTTCTTAGGACTTGAAAACTAAACTAGCAATTTGATGCCATTTCTTAGTTTTTTTTTTATATTTAGTTGCTCTGTTGCATGCCACTTACCTTACAAAGACACCAACAATAAATAAAGTCACCAATATACCGGTGGCACTAAAGGACATTGCACCAATAGCCCATGCTGATTCAGGACGCAAGTATACTTCTGGTATAGTTTGACAGTATTGTTTTGTTGCATCTGGCAAAGTACCCAATTCACACTTAATACACTGAGTCTCATCCAAGGGATGGCGTATCTGTAAATAACAAGACATATAACAAAAGTGAAAAAGTGTGTAAATACTACTAGATGTTAAGAATACTACACAATTTCTTTTTAAACATTTAAAAATCTTTAGAAAAAACAGGTCCTTTCCATGTGTTTACCTCACTGCCGGAAACGTTATTCTTTTTTCCCTTTAAATAAAATATCTACAACTCAACATGAGTATAACTAAAGGAATAGTATAAAGACACATTTTCTAGGAAAAAATAAAGAATTACCAGTATATTTGAAAGTTAATGTTCCAGATATTGTTAAGTCATGTAGTAATAATAGTTTTTTGTATTTCCATTTTCATTCTATCTTTAGCAGCCATTCAACTTTAGACACTAAAGTATTTCATAGAGTCAACAAAAAGTAGAATAATTGAGAAAAAAAGTGAATGTGAAAATACCCTCCCAGAATAGTTACATATTTCGTTAACAATTTACAAGTACTTTCGACAAATTGCAATTGATAGTTATACCTTTTGCTCTTTTTTAGTTTTGGCCATTTTGGGTTGGTTTAAATATTTGATGAAAATGACCAGCTTGAATTAAAGTATAATATGGAAAAAGGGTCATACATTATTAACTAGTAAACGGTTTAGGGAAAACTATAAATTTAAACGTTAAAAGCACAAAGCATTTAGTACTCAGTTCTAGTTCAGTTCTAGTTCAGTTCTAATTCAGTTCTAGTTCAGTTCAGTTCTAGTTCAGTTCTAGTTCAGTTCTAGTTCAGTTCTAGTTCAGTTCTAGTTCAGTTCTAGTTCAGTTCTAGTTCAGTTCTAGTTCAGTTCTAGTTCAGTTCTAGTTCAGTTCTAGTTCAGTTCTAGTTCAGTTCTAGTTCAGTTCTAGTTCTAGTTCAGTTCTAGTTCAGTTCTAGTTCAGTTCTAGTTCAGTTCTAGTTCAGTTCTAGTTCAGTTCTAGTTCAGTTCTAGTTCAGTTCTAGTTCAGTTCTAGTTCAGTTCTAGTTCAGTTCTAGTTCAGTTCTAGTTCAGTTCTAGTTCAGTTCTAGTTCAGTTCTAGTTCAGTTCTAGTTCAGTTCTAGTTCAGTTCTAGTTCAGTTCTAGTTCAGTTCTAGTTCAGTTCTAGTTCAGTTCTAGTTCAGTTCTAGTTCAGTTCTAGTTCAGTTCTAGTTCAGTTCTAGTTCAGTTCTAGTTCAGTTCTAGTTCAGTTCTAGTTCAGTTCTAGTTCAGTTCTAGTTCAGTTCTAGTTCAGTTCTAGTTCAGTTCTAGTTCAGTTCTAGTTCAGTTCTAGTTCAGTTCTAGTTCAGTTCTAGTTCAGTTCTAGTTCAGTTCTAGTTCAGTTCTAGTTCAGTTCTAGTTCAGTTCTAGTTCTAGTTCAGTTCAGTTCAGTTCTAGTTCAGTTCTAGTTCAGTTCTAGTTCAGTTCTAGTTCAGTTCTAGTTCAGTTCTAGTTCAGTTCTAGTTCAGTTCTAGTTCAGTTCTAGTTCAGTTCTAGTTCAGTTCTAGTTCAGTTCTAGTTCAGTTCTAGTTCAGTTCTAGTTCAGTTC